CTCTCGGACTTTCCACGCGATTAAACGCCGACACAAACAACAAAAGCGAGAGTGCGGCCGAGCCAGCAGACCATCTAAATAACACCAGTGCCAAAACAGGACACCATGACGACTTATTTGTTAAAATTAAATTAAAACCTGGTTTTACGATAATAAGGTATTTTTTAATCCCTTTACACTCGCGAATTGCAAAAATAATACGCATTTTGGAATGGATACGGCATCCGAGTGGAATGGATTAAGAAATGGCTTTACACTGAGCTACGAAACTTCTTTTTGTATCAAAAAAAAATGAAAAAAAAGCTATAAAATGTCATTGATTTTTGATAATTGAGAGTGATCAAACTAATATATCACTAAACAAGTCGAGAGACCCACTGAAAAGACACTACTATTCAAGAAAATGCATACACGAATAGACTGACGTATCGACAGCATATGATAATATGAAAAAGCACACTGAGAATTTTTACCTCAAATGTAGAGATCACAACAATATCAAAATCTGGGCACTTGACCAATTTACAAGAGAAATAGTTGGATATGGAATTAATATGTCATTGGTTCTGAACTAAAGATTTTTTTTAAATTTTTATATTATGATTTTAGATACATCTTTAACGTGGTGGCTGGGAATAAATTATTAGACATTATTGTTGGATACACTACACATTCCTTAGGTTACATTAATTTCATTTATGAAAATAGTTGTGATGATTTTTTCTCATAATTTACTAAAAATTGCGATACTCCAAATTGCTGAATATTAAGCAACAATCTGTAAGTAAACATAGCGTTCGAATATTAGACTTTTCTGAAGATATATATTCTTCCTCTGGTTGAAAGTTGTTTAAAAGTCACTTAAAACAAAACTAACTATGAACGTCAGTAACAACTTTCATAAAATTATCTAATTGTAAGTCTTTCATAATTGTAAGACAAATTCGAAAAATATTTGATTAAATTATACATAAAAATTATAAAAATTGATATATAACATTTTACTCTTATATCAATGTGTTAAAATCTTTCATCAATCTCACATCTTCAGTTCTGGTTTCTTATTTGAAATTATGCTGTTCGTATAATAATGTCACATTACAGTTGTAGATTAATAAGAAATATTAATTGTTATAATTTAATTTATGATTTATGAAAAAATGTAATATATGGGTATAAGGTAGGAAAGGTAGAATAATAATATGGCTACTACTATTCCATCAATGTGTTCAATTCAAATCTTCAGTTCTAGTCTCTTATGCCTTACGTATAATAATGCCACATTACAGTTTTTTGCTTCATAAGATATATTAAGTATTAAGTTTTAATTTATGAATTTATGAAAAAAATTAACATGTGGGTTAAAAGATACGTAGAATAATAATATGGCCACATGGTAATGTGAGGCAAAAAAAATAGCCTGTATGTATCTTTTTTACTTCAGTACTTATTCGTTATTTAAATATAGTAATCTTGAGAATAATGTAGAATTGCTTATTTGCTATTTATTTGACATATTGCAATCAGAACTCTACAATCCTATGAGCTATTGTTGTGATACTTCTTAACCTTGTGGGTTTAGACTTTTTCTTGTTAACTTTGTTAACATGTTTACTTTGTTAATTAATTTCTTCTAATATCGTTATGTAATCTCAGTGTATTATTACTATTACTATAAAAATTATTTTATCTTTCTGACAAATATTTTATCTTAATTGGACCTGTATGTGTATCATGTTAACATTGTCGTCATATAATATTATTCGTCATATATTATTATTCTCTTCATAACTATGAAGCTTTGATTCGTACTAGAGAAGCATAGGTACTGTTGTCTGTGCTTTAGTTCAGCACTTTCACCATTCTCGCTTTCCTTTGATTGTAGCAATGTTTGTGTTAATCACTATTAGACATAGACACCTTCACATTTAGAATTTACTTACACTATCTTTATTAATTTTATAAAGTTTCTAGAATATTCGATAAAGTAATTGATTCCATTGGTAAAGCACAGTGGTACTTTTATAGTAGCATTGAAACATTGAAATTATTCAAATTTTAACTTTTTGGCCTATTAAATTTTTAAATATTCGGATCTGTGATGTTTTTTTCGCCTTTCAGATAATTTAAATACTATACATACTCATATCGTAACATATTTTTTATATTATTCCACTTCTATTACTAAGGGAGCTTTCACACCATACTTAAAAAAGGACTTGGTTATGAAGTCCATGATCAGTCTTCACTGTCCAATCAATCATTGATCATCCCATCAATTATCATCCGTGATCGATAATATTAAAATATTGCAATTTTCTTCAATGCATAATTTATACGATGCATTTTTTAAGGTTCATGAAGATTGTACAAAAAGATACGTAAAATGCGGAACTAAAATCATAGATGATCATTCATAATTGATTATTCATCGTGAATAATATAAACGGTTATTAAATATCGTTAATGAGGCGCAAGTATTATAATGGGATAATATAAAGAAAATTGCAAACTATCTATACATGAACTACAAAAACTTTGATTTGTACCTTTCCATAAACTAATGAAACAATAATTTCAATAAGGATATGAATATATTTAATTGATCAAACAGTACTAATAAATTCTAGTACTCAATTAAGAAGTTCTAAAACTTATTAGTATTTTGTAAATTAAATAAGTATATTAAATATTATTAAGTCTTAATAAGATCAGAACTACTTAACTTATATGTTATGTCCAATATAAAATAATTAGTGTTTATATTTATTATGTCAAGATAGTGGTGAAAAACTAAAAGACTGAAAATATAATTTTTAAGGATATAAATATTGGTGCAATTAAGCACGTTGCAGATATTTATAAACCCTAATACTCAATATAATCTAAACTGATAAATTATATTTTATGTATATATAACAATGAAATTATTTTATATTAATCCAGAAAGTGGTGAATGGAGGAAAAAGAGTACGTGATTTCTAGAGATTCTCTGGCCGATAGACCAATAAATAAACCAATATTATGTAAAATAGACCAATGTCATGACAAGGCTATGTTACGTAGCGTTTTGCATATAAAATGGCACTAAAAACTGTTACACATAAAATGTAACTTCACTCGTATGTTATTACGCTACATGACGAAGATGCACTTATGGTAAGATTTAAGATTTTTTTTGAGAAGTTTGCATGTTTTCTGGGGTAGGTTTTCTAACTGCAAACACATAGCATTTTGGCAGTTTTTAGTACCACTTTATATGAAAAACTCTACGTAAAATAGCCTTGTCATAACATTGGTCTATTGTACGCCAGAATCGTGCAAACTATATGGATTTTTTGAGTATTTTGTTTTACTACTAATACATTTATATAAACTATTACCGAATATGACGAATAACAATTACAAGCTCTACTAATTAAAAACGAATACCTTCTATTGTTTTTCAGTCAGATTTACAAAAACGTGAATCCTCTAATTACTATCTAGAAGCAATTAATTCCATACACGTTCAGCAACATATTAAAGAAACGTAGTACTATTTATGTAGTTAATCCATTGCTTTGTAAAACATACCCTTGAACAGCTCGCATATTACTTTATGCGAAAAAACAACATTATGCTATTTGCTCAATACACTGATGATATGCCGTGAGTCATGTAACCCCACGAGAGCAGAAAACCTTCGCGAATGAACTTGAGTTTATTGTTTCCGTACTTCTCCAAGTACATTGATTTATTGCGCTATCACATCAAATGCGCAATTGATATCTACGATAAATTATCTACGAATTTGATATAAGATGTTTTAGAAATTCTTGCGATTTTATGTCATCATTTGCTAGTGGTTTCTAAACGTTTAAATTGACAATTTTACAGATGTGTTTGTATTTAGATTCTCTTCTTTCTCTTTTTTTTTCTCAATATGACCAACTGTATATTATCTTCATATCTTATACCCTTGCCGAATTACGTTTTTTTATTTATTAACTTTCCATAGGGTAAGGGGGCGTCCATTAATCACGTGATCGATTTTTTAAGGATTTTTGGATGCTCCCTCCCACTTGGTGATACGTGGTGATATTCAAAATCACCCCTCCTTCTCCACCAAACATTGCGTATATTTTATAGAAAAAAATGTTAATTTTTTGATTATTTTTGAAAATGTTTGGGTTTTTTAGGTAAAAAATAAAATACATTTGATATGTTACTACACCCCTCTCTCCCCCACGTAGTATTTCGTGATTTTTTGTCAAACCCCCTAAAAACCCCACAATCGAAAATGAAAATTTTTACATATCTTTACGTTTCTGAACATTTTGGCATACCTTATAGATATTGGATGAGTGTATGTGTGTGTATGGGTATGTGTGGATAAAATTTTTCGTCGACGTTTTCGGGAGCACCGATTAACCGAGTCTTCTATCGCTAGTGAAATGTGCTGATTAGTTTTTGGCAAAGACAGGTCCATCCATTTCGGAAGCAAAGAGTGAAATTAGGTTTGTGAGAGAACAGTGTATACGATTTGAATGGATTGAAAATTATTTAATTTGTAATGATGGGGAGACATCATGATTATTTTTGGCAAGGATAGGTCAAGCCGTTTCGAAGATACGGAGAAAAGATGGCTTGAGAGAACGATGTATCCGATTTGAATGATTCAAACAATATTTTGCTTGTGTTGACAGTGTGAAGAAAGGATTGGGAAAGGCAAAAAAAAATTATTTCAAAATTTAAAATAATGATAATTTCCAAAAAAACTTTTTTAAACATCGAAAATGATTCAGATTTTAAGTTTAATTCTAGCTAAAAGCTGAAGTATTGGCGTAGAACTTTATGTAGAACCCTTGTAATAATAAAGATGATTAAAAATCTTAACCTTTTTATTACTTAATATTATGTCCTTCAAGATTTTATTAATATATATTTTCAATTTTGTCTATCAATGTACTGTTTCATACAATATAAGTCGATTCTCAACTATTTTTTTTTTAATATTAATTGTATCTTATTGATCAAAGATATTTTTTTAATATTAATTGTATCTTATTGATCAAAGATATATTGCTTTGTTGTTAATTACTATCGGTGCAGTATGATTAACGATTAAAATCTATAGTCGTGTCGTAAAACCGTCCGTGATGCGGAAATCTACTTTCTAATTGTTTGCTCTCACATTAAATTTTCTTGGTAAAATGCTATTCCTAAGAATATTCGATAACACATTATTGATGCAATGCATTTTATTTGTTCGGGGTTTTTATCAGTAAAGTGAAGGAAATCGTTTTATCAAAATAAGTTGTTTTTTAACTCATTGCAAAGGAGGCCGGGTAAAAATACCCGAGTCAAGAACTGCTGCTTTTGAATGTACTTGATTCCAATAGTCGGACAAGCTAATTTTTCTCTATCGGTTTACATATGATATTGAAAGAGTTAGCTGGGACCGTTTTAGATTTAATTGCCTTAATTTTTCAAAGATTAAGCATAATAAAGAGTACTTTTCAAAAAAAGAAATGAGTCAATGCATGTCTTGGCAATGATATCCCAAAAGTAATTACCGTCTTGTTTTACCAGATTATACTTAAAACAATGAGTGTACATCCAAAGAATTCATTATTTACACAAATTGCGATATCATAAAATTTCGCGATAACGAAAATATCAGTCTGCCTGGCGCGTTTCAGTCCGTCAATTAGTGTTCCACATTAGCAATATTCTTTGAAATTGATATGATTTTTTACTGTAGACTTGTTCTCTTATCAATGAGCCGTTATCAGCAGACAGAGGCTGAGCGATCAGGCGGCGAGTCTACGCAAGAGCAGGTTGAGGTTGTCATAGGTCAGTCCCGGCTCATATGAGTGCCGAGAGAAAGCTTCTAGAACCGCATAGGTCACTCGCATTTGAATAATTTAATTGCTGGAAAACTGGTATAGAAGTAATAGACATGAAACTTAAAATAAACGGAAATAGACGCTTGTGTTATTTATGACTTGGCAAGCAGAAAATTAGAATTAATGCGCGGTTTGTGAACTATTTAGGGAAAATAGTTTATGGAGCACGTCTGGTTTTTAATAAATCACAAAAATATAGACCTGAATAGTACTTTGTAAAATATAAATCAGAAAGTTTTGAGTTCCATTTTTATGAAACTTTAGAAATAACCAGCAGTAGTGACATCGGTTTTCGTTTGAAAATATAGGGAGCAATATGTGTTAAAGAGTAAATAGCCCTTCCTCGACATTGCTGCACCAATAAAAAGTCATCAGTTTAAAATTTTTATTAATAAATCCATCAGATAGAGATAAGTCATCCGCTGGGTAGCCACGCATTAGGTCATAAAAAACTTAATAAATTAAATTCCAGGTACTTCTAAATATCATAATAAATTTACAATTAATTATAGTAAGAATACATAAAGTCCTCGCAGCTTTTAACTAGATAACTGTGGTAGTAAAATATGGTTTTTGAGGTAAAGTGTAACTTACAACTATTTATTTCATACCGACATAGCCTCAAAAATTCTAAATATCTTGAAATTTGAGAGTATGCTTTTTTTATTTTGATCAAAGAATGAGACGCATGATGAGTAAAATACATAAAATTTAACTATTTCTCCATGACGAGTATATTCGTGAAGCACAGTTAAATGGTTAAGCCACACATACACCCTTTTTTAGGTAAGGGGGCGTCGGTTAATCACGTGATCGATTTTTTGAATCCCTTCTTCTCCTTGGTAAAATTCAAAATCACCACCCCCTCCCCCTAGCAAGCACCACGTGTATTTTTAGTTACGAATAAAATCGTAAAATTTTCAAATATTAAAAAAAAATGGATTTTTTTTTAAATTTTGGTAAAAAATATATACACGTGATATCTTACCCCTCCCTTCTTGATATTTCGTGATTTTTGAATTAATGGACGCCCCCTAAATTCTTATAAACAAAATTATCAAAATTGATCATAAATCATCAAGTTTTTGTACTTCAAAAATTGTATTCAAGATTTTAACTCTATTTTTAAACACATACATTGCGTATGACATTGGTATCCACTTATATCATGGTCCTTTGTAGGTGGACAAAATATTTGTGTTGTAATAAAAATAAACCTTCTGTTAGTCTATAATAAGATTGTGGTTTAAATTTGTTTTTATTATTTACTCTGAATATATAGAAATATTTAAATTAGCATTATGTGTTATCCGTTACAAGTCATTCAATATACTTTACTCTATTATTTAATAAATTAGTGCAAAAAAGAGTGTTGTTTGTTCATATTTCCAAATTAATATATATATATATATATATATATATATTAACTATGATTTCTTTAAAAATATCTTAAGAATGTCCACATCTTAAGAATGTGTTTTATTTGGCTAAATAATATTTTATTGCTTTATTTGGAATATTGTGAGAGATCAAAGTGCACATGGACTTGATACCAAAAGTTTAATGCATTTAGGCATTAATTTTATCTGTTAAATATTTTAACACTTAAATACACTAAAATAATTATTTATTCCCCATTGTAATGTTACGGATCATTTCTGGTACTTTCGCGACTTATCAGTGCGTTAAAGTGTTAAATAAGTCGGAAAATCCAAATTCATGATACTTTACCGTTTCTCTAAATAATTAAAATCATTCTTTGTCCAAAACTTAATGACGTCGACAATCACGAATTCTTTAGATTTCTCGAAACGGTTTTTATCATTTTGTTACTGACCTATCCCAATTTTATCAATTCGAATGCATTGCAATAGCGTACAGAGTTATCGAAATACACAATAGCGTTCATTGACGTATGTTGCAATGTCGGCAAATATGAAAATATGGATTTTCAATCAAATAATAAACGAATGCTTTGATTTTTAATGTGAGACACATTTCATATTTCGCAATATTTCAGATTCACACGCGTCGGGCTCACGAGGTTCGAGGCACCTTGACTGGGACGCTTCAGGCCTTCGATAAACATTGGAACATTGCGTTATCAAATGCAACGGAACGCTGGTCTAGACGAAAATCTAACAAAATGAAAGCACCCCCGATGGGCGGTAAGTGAAATATGGGGACTTGATTTAATTCAAATAAAATTTTGGTCTCTACACGGAATAGTAGTCAGAGGTCCAAGTATGATATCCACCTCTGACAACCTGGTGTCTAGGAGATGTGACATCGGTTTTTGCTTTATAATATAGATACAAATACGTTTCCAAGCGAAAATAAGCATTGCTGCATACTATAGCAAAGAATTTCTTCTAATAAATTCATTAAATAGAGGTAGGACAATCATTGGGTTGCCATCTTTAAAGCCATGCCTATAAGATCATCACAATATATTGTAGTAATATATAGCTTAAAGGACTGATCAAATTTTAATTGCTATTAATATTATAACAACAAAAATGGTCAAAGTCTGAAAACTTTATATAGTAGGACATAATCAAATATATTCTGACTGATATCAAGCATGTTTTAATCAGTAAACCAGATTGTAGTCAGCATATAGTCAAATCATTATAGTAAGTTTACCTCGGAATTCGAGATACTCAGCTGTAAGTCTGTAAATACTTGTATTGTATATTGATAGGTACACCCGACTATATGTAGGTTTTGAGACAACTTTTTAGTGTCAATATACAAGTATTTACATACTTACAGTTGGGTATCTCGAATTCCGAGATTCTTACCTAATTTAAGCGTAAATGACTGGACTAATGAGTAGCAAAATTTTACGAATATACTCGTAATGCGTATAAAACTTTGACCATTGGCTATTTAAATCGGAAAATTTTGAAAAAAAATCATTCTCATCAAGTCATTCTCAAATTTCAAAATATTTAAAATATTTCGAAACTGTACTGGTATAAAATAAATAGTTGTTTGACATTTTACCCCAAAAAGAACATTTATCCTCGATTCTGACGACACAAAACTTTGCAGCAATTCAACGAGCGCGCCACAGTTGGCTGGTTAATCAATAATTTTCTCAAAAACTATAATAAACACTTGTGTCTTTATAGAATAGATTATGTGCGAATGAGCGACAAGTTTTCATAAAAAATCATTCTAATTCTGTATTCCGCCACGTAGTTATAGAATTTATTATTTAAAAGCTCTTCTTCGAATGACCAAAATGTATACCGCCACGTAGTTATGAATCTATGTATTAAACATTTACTTGTTGACATATTATGTATTTGTTGCAGTTCTAATTACACTATTGATTTGTCTCTAAGTTCTAATCAAAGAAGATATTTTTATTAATTATTTATTACACATGTTGTTTCGCGGACTTTACTTTTAGAAGTCAACAATTAGTCCTATCAAACTCTCCAGGGGTAGTAACCATCCCGTGTAAAAGTTCAATGCCATGAAGATTGTCACCTCATGGCCAATATAATAAAACGAAAATACTTCCGAACAAATTCAGACGGACAAAAATAATATATCTTTATTTAAACCATCTCAAAATGAAAGTGAAAAAATAACGCCCCAGTTAATATTGAACGCCCGAATAATACAATTTATATTGTAAAATGAATTATATATTATTATTAAATATGATGATTTACTTTATATTATTATCAAATTTTCAGGCGCAGGTTGTCCAAGCAACAAACCAAATAAAATTCGCGTTAAAATTCCTGAAACTAAAATAATAAGCAGCAAAGGTAAAAATGAAGTTTGTGAACGATTTGTACCAAAAGTAATGATCAGAGGGGAACATGTTGTTTTAATAATATTAAACCTCCAAGAGAAAGTTAAGAAGTAAAATAAGGATGGTTTTTCACAGCTTCTAGCCTGGGATTATGATTTTATGAAGACTAAAATTTACAGGAGTAATATTATTTTTGTAATTAATATAAATATTGAGTTGTTTTTATGTTGTTTAATAAAATGTTGATGAAAATCAATAAAAAATTAAATATCATGTTTTATTTGGCCACATAATTAAAATTTCTTAAGCTACGGTTACAATCTTAATTATGAACTTTAATTCAGTATCTTGGCCTGATCTCTCACCATCTGTATTTCGTTGTGCATCTCAATCGATTTTATGTCTTTACTAGTATCTGTTTTTAAATTGTTTACAAATATCAAAGATCATAGATCATTTCTATTATCGACTTTGAAAACATTTGTATGCACAAACGAGTTGCACGATACAAGTTTCCACGGTGCATTTTTGCACTTGTATTGAACCGTGTGCTGTGTTTCCCGATGTGTGTACTTTCTCTCAGGACAGAGACCCCGTAGTGAAAGTGATCAACAAACCTCAAACTGTATGCTTTATAAGGTTATTTATATTTGAATCCTTTGGAAGAGGTTTTAGTCTTATTTTTTTCATTAAAATTGCCAGAATTTGTTTTCGTTTGGCCCATAAATTGAAATTTAAGAAAAAATATCACGTACTACCTAAGAGTACATATATTTTATGAGAGAATAATTTGAAAGATATTATTTATCTTTTGAATTTAGAGTTGATGTATAGTTGTATTAAGTAACTTACTCATATGCATGAATTATACAATTTTATAGCTAGATTTCAGATTTTATCTAAAATCAATTGATTAGATTTCTTGAAGTGATAGTCTAATCACTAAAATGCTCAAATAAATAATAAAACTCTTAAATGTAATTCTTTATTAAATTTTAAAAATTAATATCCCACACATAAGAGAACGGTAAATCGATGGATTGCCTCTCATCAAATAAGTAAGTCTTAACCAAGATTATAGAACATATAAGAGTTCTGATTGCTGTTCAAACAATTCCAAAAAAAAAAATCAAAATATAGTTTACTAATACTGTAATGAATAACTAAGTAAAAATGCTCTAATGCAACTGATTTTAGACAAATTTAGAACAAATCTTAAAAATTCTACTATAAAAATAGGACTTACGTGTATGTTATGCTTCAACTGTTATTTGCCGCACAGCGATATGATTGAGAACTGAAAAAATAAAAGAAAAATATAATTAATAAAATTATAGATAATTCAAATTATAATAATATTATGCTAAAAATAATAATTAAGGTTGGAGCATCTTCCACATATTACCCTTTCAAAAGAAAATGTATCTTTTATTTCAAATGCATAAAAATGACTAATCATAAGTTATGTGGATCATGTGTAAATGTAATTAATTATAATTTGCATAACGCCTGTATTGTAGAGAATTAAAATTTGCATTGACACTGACATTTAACACTAACATGCTTCTATTCGTTTTGATCAATTAATGAATAAATTTTAATTAATTATAGAAGACTTTAATTTACTAATAGAAGTCTTGCTATTAAAGCCATTAAACCGAAGAAGAACGTATTCAAATCACCATTTTTGTTATTTATTACTGTGAATGATTAATTGAGCAAATTGTACTTGTTACTTTCATTTTAAAAATATCATTTATAGAATTAGCTTTTCTTATAATTTTTGTAGATTTAATGATAGTTGTACATGTTAATATTACATTTTCTCTAGAAAGTCCGTTAGTGAAGATAAAAAATAAAACTAAAGATGGACATATTAGATATAAACCATCTAAAATGCAATACAAAATGCATTGCATTTAATTTTATACTATTACAATCAAGAGAACCAATTTGAGTTGATGGATTCATTTTAATTCAGTGACGTTAACTTTAGCCTTCAAATAATTGGAATATAAATGATGTAATAATTACTGATCAAGTTACTATTTTTTACTAATTTACTAATTTAAAAACATTTGTAACTCATCATGACCAATTTGTTATTTGTATATCACTTTAAAAACAAACATAACATCGAAAACTGAAGGATCTAGCATAAATAGATGGTTTTCTTTTTTTTTGGTATTAATAAAATTATTAATTATAAAATATTCATAAAATTTAATTATTTTTTTAGTACTATAAAGTGTACACTGTATAGTGTATTAATATATCAAGTGTACAAACTTTAATAGATGCAAGAAGCAAATTAGGATCAAAACCCAATTTATCTATTTTTTAGTGCAAAGATTTTTTTCTGATGCATTAATCTTCATACAGTTTTATGTTATATAAAATTATAAGTAAATATTTTACCTCAACATCACTTTACAGAATTTCAGTAAAAATTGAGCAATTAATACAATTCAATATTGTAAATACTCTTACTGGTTGGAGAGCGGATAGCTTCAAAAATTTTCTAAAGAAAAATTGAGTGTCAACCCGATGTTCTATTTAAAACGGATTCGTTATATGCCATTTCATTAAGATCGAAACCCAATTTATCTATTTTTAATGCAAAGATTTTTTTCTATAATTAATGTATTGACCTTCATACAGTTTTATGTTATATAAAATTTTAAGTAGAACATTCTACCTCAACATTACTTAACAAAATTTCTATAAAAATTGAGCAGTTAATACAATTCAATATTGTAAATATTCTTACTGGTTGGAGAGAGGATAGCTGAAATAATTTTACAAAAAAAATGAGTGTCTAATGTCATATTTAAAGCTGATTCATTATATGCCATTTCTAAACATCTACGCCCAGTTATTCTGTTTCTATAACTAAGGGCCCAATTCTCCGATAAAATAGACCGTAACAAAGCTATGTTATGGTGCTTTCTTCTTATAAATCGTCAGACAATTTTAATATAAAACCTAACATAGATAACGGTCAAACGTTGAAAAAATAATGTTATCATAACTGCACCTTTCTGATGTGTCATGATAACACATACGCGAAGTTAGGCTTTATGTGTAACAAATAAATACATAACATTTTGGCAGTTTTCACTACCAATTCATATGAAGAAAGAACCGTAACCTAGCTTTTCCATGACAACGCTATGTAAATAGTCCAGTCATTATAGTAAGTTCACCTCGGAATTCGAGATACCCAGCTGTAAGTCTGTAAATACTTGTATATTGACACCCTAAAGTTGTCTCAAAACCTATATATGGTAAGGTGTCAATATCATATGTAGGGTTTGAGACAACTTTAGGGTGTCAATATACAAGTATTTACAGACTTACAGCTGGGTATCTCGAATTCCAAAATTCTTACCTAATTTAAGCTTATATGACTGGCCTGATTCGATATTTCTGTAAAGAAAACATATAAAGTATTACACATCGTTAGAAAGGTCTCAAAATTCTTAGTTTTTTTCCCATATATCGCAACTTCGAATTCCGAACGGTGTGGCCTACAGGCGAGTTGCCGTCATAAAATTTCAGGAAAATCGGAAAATCTCGAGAAAATTATATGAACACACTTAACCATTCATACACCATTTTATTCGTTATTTTATTCTGCATCTTTCGTACGAACAAAGTTTTTTTGTATCTTTCACGGTTTAGATGTTATAGAGCAATATGTGTAGTTGGAGAATTGGCTATTTTATTGGAGAATTGGCTCCTAAATGTTTTAAACAGAAGTTATAGAACGCTATTAAATCATAATGTTATTACATTTCTATCCATTACATCAGCTCTCTGTCTACTTCAGAGGGATGGCCGAATGAATGAATCGGCCGAACGGGAGGCAGTGATTTTGTCAGCACGTGCACAAGACACGTGTTTGGCAGTAGGGGATCGACGTCCTTGACACAGAGCTACACGTGGGCGGGGGTTGACAGCGTAGCAGGCTCGTAGGGCGCCCGCGGAAAGCGTAGGTTTTTCGGAGACCGCAAGCATGGAGGTTGAATTCACGGGCGAGAGGAGAGTCAAAAATTGAAGAATGAATTATTTGAGAAAATATAATGAAGGTTAAGAGATGGTGGTTCGAGTGTTTTATTGTTCTCGGATTTTATATCTCGGGGGTCGGTTTTGTTTTTTTGTGCATATAGGCTTTCTAGGTGTGTTGATTTCAAGATGGTCTTAATTATGGTTAAGTGGTTGAAACACAACTAGTTTTAGGAAATGTACTTGAATAAACTGTTTTTCAACTCCAATTTTACAATAATCTTTTGTGCTCAACACTTTCTATCAACAGTCGATAAAAGGAGCATAATATGATAGCACAATTCCACTGTTCTGGTCAGTTGTCATAGCAACGTATTACCAGACATTCAATTCAATAGTTTATTATTGATATTTTTAACAGCAATAAGAACTTCTCATTCTTTGATCTGTATTTGACAGGAAAAATTTGATGAATTGGTAATTATAAGATTTTTAACATATTTCAACTTTTGCAGAATTTTCTAAAAACTCACTAGCAAAAGTATCTTGCCTGATGTATTAGAATTAAAGCAGGCCAGGACAATCAGTGTCTTTACTTGCTAACTTACATTATGTTGTTTTCTACGATTAGACAACTCTGTTAACTACTCTTTTTTCACTTGAAATTAAATTTGAGATCTAGAGCCTCAAGTGGAAATTCGATATCAGACTGCTTGATACCAGGGACTAGGGAAATACTAACCAGTTAACTGTGGCATACTCATTGAAATGCTCTGTGTCGTCAGATTCTAAGTTGTTTTTAAGTAAAATACTACTTAAAGCTGAAAATATCCCAAAAATATCGGAAGCTTGAAACTACGTTTTGTATTTTTCTTCTTTAAAATTGCCAATCTGAAGATCAAGGGTCTGATATTAATACGCATGACGTTTATAATCGTCAATTCTGCTACTAAAGGCAAAATTCTTCTATTTTTTCTTCAAGAGCATATTCGTCAATCACAGTTAACTGGTTGAAGACAATCCTTGAAAAATATGAGCATTCGTTTTAATAAAAATAATTTTTGTGTCTTTAATCGTTTTTGTGGATAAAAAATTAAGTATCTTTG